TATCTCTGCACTAAAAGCAGCCACTACAAAATGATTATCTACACTAAGATATTAGAGCGGTAATTCCTGGGCCTCAGACAGTCTTAAGCTACTAAAAATGTATTGAGCTTTAGTATGTTCTAAATTAGACTATGAGTGCTTTGTATAGGGTTCTTCCCACTATCGGACCCTAAATGAACTTTCAGCCCATCATACAAGCATTAAGATGGCGACTGGCGCGTTTCGGACAAGCCCCATCCTTATTCTGAACCCGGGATACCTCTTTATTTAGAAGAAAGAGGCCGTTAACTATCTTTGAAAACTATATCTCCAAAATAAACATCCTACTCATAACTACATTTTTAGCCAAAATTCTCTAACGCTTTTAGAAATAAACCCTATTCCACACTACCACAGTCAGAAAGAATTTATTCAGCAGTTCAATTTCTTAAGAACATAGCTCTGCACAAAACAGAAATTCAAAACGTACCTTGGATCCAAAAAACTTCCAAAACAATGCTCCATCTCTCTCGATTACTAATAAGAAATGGGTCACTTTCCGAATATAAATCCGAACCCTCCCATCTCCTAAAAAGTATTCCAGACCTGTAAAATCTGGGAAACTCTGTATTCTTTATATGGATTCCCGTTTGCGTGGGAATAGTTGGTAATGAGCTTGCAAATATGGCAGCCAAACTAGGGCTTACGGTCGAGGTACTGCTATCTTGACTCCTCCAGAAATGAATTTTCTTCTCAAACAGGAAATATCGGATAGGTGTCAGTCCATGTGGAACGAATGTCCACCAAACAAATTAAAAGTCATCAAACAAGCAGTAAAGCACTAGACCTGATCAAACCGTTCTAATCTCAGAGGAGAGGTCGCCACGACTAGATTAAAAATAGGTCATACAAATTTGACTCATTTATATCTTATCAATAAATAACCACTTCCAACATGCTAATACAGCAATATTCCTTTCCTTGTCAGTCATATTTATCAGGAATGGTCCCATCATACCTCAAACTTACATAACATCGGCATATTATTTTTTACTTTAATTAGTCCATTTTAATATGATGTGAATAAACTCTTGTCTCACTATAATAATTGTCCATATTGTGACAGAATATAGACCCAGCGGATTAAGGTGTATGCTCACTCTTCTTGAACGTAAGATACACAACGTCGCCTAAATCGGAATGGTACTGGGCTGCAAGATCTCTGATGGCGGAAGCCGATAAAAAAAAAAAATGTGACAGAATGTTATATTTCTCAATAAAATAGTTTAAGTTAAATTAAATTATACATTTAATTGAATGTTTTCCTTAAAATTGTTATTTAAATCTAGTAAAAAACATGCCATAAAAGGGGCAATATTTCCATTGATTAGTCACTATTTTTCCCCATATTTTGAAGCATTTGGATTCAACGTTGTAAAATCGAATCATTTTTTAAGGCTATAAAATAATCTATCGATTTCTTGGTACATAAAAATGGAAGTGCTGCTCAATCTGACTATGTTTTATATAGCGAAATAAGTGATAATCGGAAGGGGCTACATCCAGTGAATACAGCGGATGGGGCAGGATCCATTTAAGCGTTTTTAGGTAGGGTTTTTGCTACGTGACCGAGCGTAATTATGTAATAAAATCACCTTGTTGTAAGTTATAGTAAAAGTTTTTCCTTTAGGGCTCGGCTCAAATGCATCAATTGAAGTTGACAGCAATCTCCCGTCATAGTTTCGTTCAGTTCGAGGAGCACACAATAAATTACAACACACGAATTACACAATAAAATACACAGGAGAAGCTTCAAGCCGTTGGCCGGGGTCACCTTACGTTTTTTTAAGCTTAGGATTATTGAATTGTATCAATTTTTCCACACCAGTCACGATAAGATGAAAAAACTTTTCCTTTTCTGCCGGTGAAGCAGCAGTTCACACGAGAGAACATGTCGTTCGACGTCCTGGTTCCTGGATCATTCTTAACGCTTTCAAACGTTTCGAAACCGCTGTATCATCTACAAGGAATGGTTTTCCAAGTTCAACCAGAGTCTGATATGAGTTTTCATGAAGCGATTTCTCCAATTCTTCTTCATAAAACTTTTTCGGTGCGCCAGAGCGTTCTATACCTAAAACATTAATGTAGTGGTTTTTGAAGCACCGAATCTAGTCTCGGTGTCGTTTTCGACAAAGCATACTCACTGCAAATCTGAACAAGAATTATGTGTGATTCAGCTGCAGATTTCTTTTAAATAAAATACTACAATAAAAGTCCTCACAAATACTCTTTACCTGAAACAGAACTTGACGTTGTCAGAACATCAAAAATGAACCTTGTTTTAACTTTAGAGAACGATCATATACTGAAGCCTAAGATAACCGATAGTTGTTCTTGGAAAATTGCATTACCATCTGAAATGAAACGCCAAATTTATGTAGATATGAATAAAAAAAAACCTGCCAAGTAAGAAATTTAATTATTTATTCTGTTCCACAGAGGTGGATTGACACTCTACCTCAGTTCGGAAAACTTTTCTAGAGTAACCTAAGACACACTCAATAAAGTTGGTGACTATTATAAGGGGTGAAACCTAACAGTTAAGCGTGATCATGTCCAAATCATATCCTTCTACAACCGTTGGTTTAGGAGATGGGTGTCGTACTGTTTCAATTTAGAGATGAGATGGGAACCTCAATAGACAAAACATCTTTATATTTATGCAGGAGAAATTTAAATCCTGTAACAAGGAAGTTATTAAATAAATGAAATAGTCAGTATGTTATTGTATTCATATTATATATACGAAGATACAGATATTCGTTTTGAAATTTAGTTAAAATAAAAATATTTCAGTTCATATACATTTGACTCCAGGAAATGAGGAAGCGGATAGTCTCGCCAGGAGGGGAGCAGAATTGCCACAAACAGTCCATCCAAAATCCTACGATTCAATTCGGCAAATGGTGAGGATGGTAGTGAAGGAGGAAACAAAAAATATGCACAAAGACAAGGTGGAAGGGATACGTTATGGATGTTTGATGGAAAACCCGATCCCAGCAGACCTACCAAGAAGAGATCTACCAAGACCTACCAAGAGCCTGCTTCCGCCTGGCCACTGGTCACGACTATCTACAAAGTCATCTCCACAAGATAGGCGTAGCTGAGGATCCTAGATGTAAATTATGTGAACAAGCGGAAGTGGATGCAGACCACCTAAACGAATGTCCGGCTTTGTCGGATATAAATAATCAAACATATGTAAATGATTACATACAAAAATCAAACTTATATTGGGCAGCAAGATGTCGGATGGTCGAATGACCAATGACTATGGCATAGGAAAAAAAAAAAAAACATTTTGCAAATGATTTGGTTTTATTAATTCAATTAATGTATTTTATTTATGTACTCCTTACGTAACCATTGCTTTAAAAAAATTTCGATTCTTTATTTTAAAATTTTATATTTTAAATATATATATGATGAAACAAGAAATGCATTAGGAGAAAAATAAAAAGGGGATCAGATTTAGTTCTTGATTTTAAGTTTATAATAAAGCGGCACTTCTGTTTGGCTGCTTTTTACGAAATTTGAGTTACATTCCTTTTTACACTATTATCCAACTGATTTCACTGTCTACACAACGACGTACAATAATAATAGTCAACTTATTTATTCTTAACACTTGTTGGTACAAATTTCTAATATTTCATTAGATGGTATCTGACTCGTATTTCCGGATTTTTCCATTTGAAAACATACGAGATCATGGGAAACATTGATAGGCACGAAAAGACCGTTTCAGCTATTAAAAGGGAGGAAGACGCATCCCCAACATCCAGTATGGATCCACGCCCATGTTTTAGAAAGAGTACTTCCTAACAAAATACAGATCCAACAAGACTTCATGGATTGTAGAAGTTTTTCCATAAATAAACTGAGAAGTACGTTTTATACATTTTTGTCAAGAACTTGGACGTCCTAACAGTTCCAGTTATTGCCATAGAATTACTATAAACGTTTACACCACTGACTGACTTACAACATGAAACCTTTAGCACATGCTTACTCCTATGACTAGTAATGTCTACTTTTATAATATTAAATAAGTTAATATCAGATTAATATTGTTGTAGAAGGTAATAGTTAGTGACGAATATCCTACTATGAATGGTTATAGTTAATAATTTTCACTTGTCCGTGAAAACAGTTTTTCACTTTTAATTTACCTATAGATTAATATACCTTTAAGAATTTTTCAGAAAAAAAAATGAAAATAAATATAAAATATTATAATAAAGGGAAACATTACTACAGTGAATAATGTTAAAGAAATTGATATTTTCAAAAGAAACATGAATAGTAATTTGGTGCTAAGAGGAACTAGTGTGATGCGCGCACCGCACCAGAATTGTTTTAGTATGTTCTTTCCATGTTCTCAAAGTTACTGCAATCACACATGTCTGCATGCAACACATATTACTTGCTTATATAATTGTATATATCTATGTTTATAACTGTATATAATGTCTTACTCTCAAATCCTATAGTTTCTACTTATTTTTGATGGACAAGATACCAGGGTTATATTTTTCGCTGGTCAGGTCCATTTACACTACTAGACAAATAAATAAAGAATTTAAACCACATTACATTCTTCGAAACGAGGAATATAAGCGAGTAGGTAAGCAATATGCAAGTGTTTTTAGTAAGAAGAAAAAAAATTAAATGTAAAATAGGAATTGAACAATCGAATTTTATCAGGAGTAATTCCAAGATGTCTGATCGAGAGATAGAATTGGGAAGTAGTTTAGTTGTTTAGAAAAAGGGTTGAAAAATAAGGGGTACACGTTTTACCTACTGAAAAATTGATCCAAACACAAAGGGCATTTGTTTATTTGTGGGAAATAAAATAGATTATCACTAGCTGACTCCTTAACCATTTAAGTATACTTTTGCAACATGTCGATAGAGTTAGAGTATGTATATCGATCTTTCGAACAACTTAAAAAAGTTACCTGCTAATGACAATGTCCACAAATAGTATTCGTACAGTTGGCCAAGCATTGTTTGTGTATTATTCATAACAGTTTCAGCCATTTTAATCTGAAAATAAATATATATACATATAATTATATATATAAAAAAAAGAAGTATTAAATTGAAATTTACAACATTTATATAGATAATTGTAACTCCTTTTGTTGCAATGGAAACTAGATATGTTAATATAAATTATACCTTTTATTGAGTATTAATACAGTCTGCCACACTGAAGGGCATTGGTACTAGGGCTATAGTATTCATTCAATATAAATTATAAAATATTTTTTTTAAAATCAATTAAAGCACAGGTGGGGAATCTATAATAAGCCCTGGAGGCCACATGTGATCTCCATGAGCTAGCTGTTGCCTTCGCTAGTTTTCTCGCGATTTTCATTAATCTATCTCTAGAAAATTAAAACTGTGTAGATTCATGGGTGTGTATTTGTTGATTATTGAAAATAGCAACAGTTAATTATAAAAAAAAAATATTGCGGCTTCCATTATCAGTTTCATACCTTACTGCTGACTCGAATGATACAAATGTTCCCTCCCCACCCATCAACTAAACAGTTTCCAATTTTTTATATTAATTAAAAAATCTGATTTTTCTAATCAATTAGAAATCATTTTTTTTTAGGTTGTGTTATAGGCATTTCGGCTCGATTGTAAGAATGAAGAGGCAAATCATCAATTATGAGATTTACGAAACTATACTCCCACATTATTTAGTAGTAATAAGTAATATTAAAATAATTTATATTGTTAATAATAATTGTTAACCAATAGTTAGAATTAATAAACCCAGACAAACGGGTTGATTAGGGAAAGGTATTTTATTTAGTTACACTGACCATTGGTGTAAGAACTTGATATTTGAAAGGTATAGAATGAATCAAGGTAAATTAAGAACTGGTGCTCAACATAAAGCTAATTAATTAGATTAAGATGTTAATTGACTATAAACAGTTATTCTATTTATTAGTTCTTCAGTTCCACGGAATCATAGGTTAAATGATTTAAGTGATCCCTTTATGTGTTATGCATACCATAATTTTATTAATATATGAGAACCAAAAATACGGTTTGGTTTAACATCCTCTACGATTAAGTATTTTTAAAGTAATAATTTGAAAACACTTTACTGTTCCTTAAAGAAAATATTTCACAAATAAGATTAATTTTGTAATGAGTAGAAAAGTAACTATCTATCTTTTTATTCATACCTTCAATTTCCTTTTTTTTTTTTTTTTTAGATAAGTGACGTTTTTGACATCTGAACACCATTACTTAAAACAAATAAATGATAAAAGGGAAAATCAACCCAACCTTATACCGTTCTTAGTAAAACAGGAGAAAATTTAATATTAACTAATTCATTTATTTTATTTTTTCATTCAATTCTTTATTTGGAAATATTACAATCTGTCATATCTAAGGACAATAGTGGTAGTAATAGAAGTAATAGAAGCTTATCCACGCTCTATATACAAAAAATAAACAGAAAAATAATAATACTACATGTAATGTATATAAATTAAACTAAACAAAATGAAACTGAACTGATCAAAATAACTACTTAAATACACACCCTTTTTTTAACTAATTAATAACAAGATGAAACAGAAAGTTGGAACAGTGTTTACGATTTCTACCAAGAATAACACCAAAGAAAAAAAAATTATTCAGACAGCATTTTTTCATCTGAATTCAAATACGATATTAATTTTTTCCGAGATACAAACATTTATAATTTCAGACATATTAATCATTTTTACATTTCTAACTAAACAACATTAAAAAAATTCTGACCTACCTAAAAAGCAAGAAATAACTTTTCTTTATTATACTTTACATATGGTTTATTGTATAAGGCAATTATTAATTACGTTTATTGTGGTCCGAAAATAATCAGACAGCATATTAGTGTTTCATTTGTGTTGAAAACTCTTTTTTGTAGCTAAAATATCCCCTTGAAAGTTTTCTGTGACAAAATATAGTTGGAATGCAGGCACTTTATGTACTTTCAAACAAAATTAAAATCATTTTTTTTTAAACATAAATGTATAAATTATAGAAGAAAATTATGAATGAATAAAGCTAAAACTTTGATCTAAGCTTATTCAAAATTAAAATAATAAAACAGTACAGTTATTCTAGATTTTTTTTTCATAATTGGTCTTGTTTTTTCGGCAGTTTTCTTGGTTTCAGAAAATTTCAGAGTTCAGGAAATTCTAAGAAGAACAGAATCTCCCTCACTACTGAATTTAAATTGTCAAAATTTGTGGTGAATTCTGTTTTTGTATTCAGCGCAAGTCTGGTCTCCATTTACATATTTTGGAAAGATTTAGAGCGCAATGTTTTAAGTTATCTCAAAGTAATTAATCCTTGGACATGTTCATAATGGACATCATATCAAACTATTAGGCGAGTGGGTATAAAGCATTAGAGATAAGCGTCCTTAAAAGAATAATTCCATGGCATAAAAGGATGAACCTAATGGAAGATAAAGATGGAAGGATGGAATGGAGTGAGACACGATGAAGCTAGAGTCTGGAATAGGAAGAGAGAATCACAGGACAGAGAGTTTAACTGGGAAGTTAGTTTGCTTGTTAATACTTCCTGATTATTGGTATAGATTCTTTAACCAGTATTCTTTGACCAGTCAGTTGGTCATGCAGTAGGTTAAAGGCACAGTGGCAAATTGCCAGTACCTCAGATTGGAATACTGAGGCACACTGGCGAAGGGGAACTGAAAAACCTTCTCTGGGTTTATATTTCCTATAGCTGCCTTCTACTTAGTGTTGCCCAAATGCGAGACCGAGACGAGTCTTGATCTTGCAAACTCGGTCTTGTTCATGGTCTTGTTCTCGCGCAAGAGTCTCGCAACAGTCTTGCAGTTACTTTTCAGCTTATTACTATAAAGATCTTACTGTACTTTTTTAGATAAGAGAAACCTAACTAAGCTCGAATGAAAAATTAGAGGAGTTAAATGCAAAAGTATATTGGTTGTACCAATTATTAACTAAAATTGACGAGTATTAGAAAATATTTTTCTTTAATTTTTATTTAACAAAAAAAACGATTTTTTTTACCAGTCCTGGTATTGGTCTTGCAGCAGTGAGGCGGCCTTAGTCTTGGTGTTGCAAATTGCAAGACCAAGGCCGATTTTGGGCAATACTACTTCTACTGATCTGGAATAGAGCCATCTGTTTAACAATTTATATCATTTTTAGGTTCATGCTGCTTATTGATACTTATACTTAAGCTATATTTAGTTTCAAGATATTCCCGGATTTATATGTGTTAGAGTGGATGACTATCACCCTTTCAATCACTTTCATTTCAAGCAGTTTGGCATGTCCTTCTACAAGGATATTAAAGCAATTATTTTGTTTATTAAGCCTATTCAATGGTCTTATGCCTTGTGATTCAACCTCCAGCTGCAGTGGGTGCATTCTAAGCATTATCCCCATAGCAGCTTTTGAAATTGAATCCATTGTGCCTGTTATCATCAGATAGGATATTCCGTGGCACTTCTCTAATAAAGTTTTGTTTGCTCCAGTCTTTGCTTTGTACCACCATAGCAGAGCTCAGTAAAGTACTATACATCTAGGCAATGGACCATGTTAAGTAAGCGTCCCCGATTGCTTCCTAAAGCTCTTTTACAAGCATTTGAGGGTTCTGCTCGTCATATGTCCTTAGCTATTTTGAGGAGATCGAGATTACACTCTGATGCTTTCCCTTAATTAGGATAGCGAAGCAAGCTGCGTGCAGCTCTAAAAGCAGAGAATCAGCCACTAGACACCACAGTTAGGGAGAGAACACATCTCCCAGTGGACAGTCACAGCTAGGTCTGACCCACAGTTCTGTGTGCCCTAATTATGATTTTAGAACCCTGCCTTCCACCATTATCACAATTCATCAAGAGAACATAACATCAACTTTTCTATTGCTTTGTCTATCGATAATGACGCTCTAAAGGGTTCTATCGAAGGCACCTTCAATATCCAGGAAGATAGCTACCATGATTTGTTCTAAGGATTTTTCTAGCCCTGAAACCAAAATATGCAACGCCACCTCACAAGATTTCCCTAATTGGTATGCAAATTGATTTAGATATATTGGACATATTTCTGAACATTTCAATGGTTTTCTGAATGTAAGAATCACAGACCCTGACGAGACACCGGAGCTAGAAAACTTGACTGATTTAGAACTGCTCTCAATTGAGGAAGTGGTAGAATCAATTAACAAATTAAAAAATGACAAAGCTCTTCGAGAAGACCATCTGATTGCGCAATTCTTTAAAAAAGGTGGAGAGAAGCTAAATAATCAATTATACTTGCTAATTTAGGATACATGGGACAAAAAATATATGCCAGTAGAGTGGAAAACTAGTTTAATCTACCCTATACATAAAAAGGGAGACATGCTGATCTGCGAAAATTATAGAGGAATACCGCACTCTTAGGAGTAGCGTAAAAAATATTCTCCAACATATTGGTTTAGAGATTAAATCAGTATGCCGAAAATGTTCTACAGGAATACCAATACGGATTCCGCAGGGGCTGAGGGACGATGGATCAAATCTTTGTAATGAGACAGTTAATGAAAAGTCCTGGCAATATATAACTGACCTTCACATGCTGTTTATAGACTACCGCCGTGCTTTCGATAGTGTGAACAGAAGTAACATGATATGTGCGCTAGGAGATTTCAACATGGCAAATAAGCTAATTAGCTTCATAAAAATATCCATGGATGGCAATAATGCTAAAGTGTGTATTAATGGTACACTTAGTCACGGTTTTGCAGTCACTGCTAGAATTAGGCAAGGAGATACGCTATCTGCTACACTATTTAACCTTGCACTACATAGTGCGATTGTGAAGCTAAACTCCAATGGGAATATACTGCGTTCATCCACACAAATGTGTGTATATGCTGATGATATTTGCTTAGTGGCAAGGAATAAGCAATCTCTTATCAATTTCTTCAGGCTGAAGGCGGAAGGTGAAGTGCTTGGTTTATAAGTCAATGAAAACAAAACCAAGTACATGTTTGTAAGTTTA